TATATATATAGTGCCGCCACATGCATCTTCATAGGCTATATACATCTGCTGTGTCCTGCTGGAGTGTGACATGATTTGTGTACAAACTAATACGGTATCAGAATTTTATATATTTATACTTCTCATTCAACCACAGTTAAATTCACTCCATCTAGGAGGCACAATGTATATGGATAGTATTTATTTTTTTACAAGCTGGAATGAAAACAAGCAGAAATAAGATAAAAGTAACAACTTTCCACTTCTTGCCTTTTTAAAAAATGTAAGGAGTAGAAAGTACAGATGTGAAAATGTAAGAAGTAGAAGTAAAAAGCAGGCTGAAAAATAATTACTCAAGTAAAGTACAGGCACCTAACAATTCTACTCAAGTACAGTAACAAAGTATTTGTACTTAGTTACTTTACAACTCTGGTTTAAACACAACACAAAACATGAACACTCACATGATAAACACCTGTTCACATGAGCTGAACAATTTTTTTTACATGTAAAAGTTCACTTTATAGTGATCATCTTCCTTTTATTGTGTTGCATTGTGGTTTGTGTGTTTTCTGTGTGCTYTAGAGAAGATCAACAGACTTTTAATCTCACCGAGAGGATCACTACAACCTCGCCGTCATCACTCTCTAATTCTCTCACTCATAACACTAATTATCTGCAACCTCCAGCCACTAATTATAGTAATTCTGTTGACACTTTTATCTAGGACACCTTACAGTGCCTGGAAGGTATGTTTTTTTTTTTTTGTGTGTGTGTTTTTTTTACAATGGGCTACCTTAGTGGGAGTCAAACCATTCCTCTTGGCACAAATAAAGAAATAGCTGTAGAACTGTTTTCTTTTATTTCCCAGTTACATGGTTGTGTGCTGAGTCACTGGGAGACTCACTGAGTCACTCTGTCTCACATTCACGTGGGATTTATGTCAAATCAGCAGTCAGAAGGACTAATTTCTCTGCTGATCCCATAGATGCATCAGAGTTCAAAACTGTATTATTTTTGCACTTTGTCAAACGATACATCTCTATTTTAAAAATTATGTAACTTTAAATAAAAAACTGTAATTAAAGGTGTAAACGTGTGTTATTRTTCATCACAAACTACAAAAATGATTCATTTAAAATAAATCTGTATGCAGCTGCAAGAAGTTGTTAGTTTTAGAATTTGGTGTCACATTTCCAGGTAAAAAATGAAATAAAATGCAAAGTTTATGTACCTCTCACCACAGTGTGCAGCAGGATTRTATTGCTTTGAAGATGCAGTCAAAGGAGTTTGTCCACACTCAGTGGTCCTCGTGTCCGCTTCCAGGTTTTGGTTTCCATGGCAACATAATCTGTAGTATCCTCAGGCTCGTCCTGGTCCCCTTTTTTTTCTTAACTAGATATTGTAAAAAAGTGAAGAACCTGCTCAGTTTCACATCCTCCTGACCATGTTGCATATCATCTTTCGTTTTCCTCCTCTACCTTTAAGGGTTTTTTTTTTTTGTAAAGTTTCTGGTTGAAGAGAAAAAWGCTGAGGGTTGGTCACAGTAAGCTTGTATCTTAGTTCTGAGGAGACTGTCTGCAGTCTGTCTTTGAGCGTGTTTGAGTCACTGTRAAGCCTGCCTGAGTCTGAATCTCTGCCACCCCACCTCCTTTCTCAAAACTGGGAGGGTTATTTCCTATTGGCCGTGGTCACTGTGGGAATCAAACAAAATTTCTCTGTTTTCATTTGTCTGTCCGTGTGTCTACCTTTGTCTGTCAGTTTATGCAATCCAGTCCTGGTACTCCATCATTTTCCCAGGACTGTTTTTTTTACTATTTAAAATAAGATTTTTAAAAAAAATGAGTCATGCAAAATGAAAGGATGACCCTGTGTCGTCAACACATATAACTTAAATGTATTATGCATCTAACTAATTGTGCATAACTATGATGTAAACAAAATAATAAATAAATCTGAATTTATTTATAGTTTGCATCATGGAAATTTTCTTTTCTTGTCTTTAACGGCATGTCCATTTGTTTTTCCATGTCCAGACTTTTTAACCCTCTTCAGTACTGTTCTTACACCTGATTATTTTAATACTGAACGTTGTGTAGTCTGCACCTAAAGGAGAACAGTAGGCAAGTGGAAAGAAGAATTTTTCAACCTATAAAGAACAATCTACAGAAAATGAAAACTGTCTGAAAATCCTTAGAAGTTGGAAAAAGCCCAACAAAGAGCTGACACAGGAGCTGAGTGATGACTTCTCCTGTGGATGTTTGCCAAGTTTTCAGCTGATGATACTTTATGAATCAGCTTGTTTGTGTCAAAGTAATACTTTGTTTTCTCAACAAGTAGTTTTGATCATTTCAATGCATTTAATGTAAAAAAAGGGAACAAATTGTCTCTTCTTGACAAACTCCTTAGTAACTATACCTAAAGATCTAATTTATAATGGGTTCTTTGCTATGTGTTGATTCAACCCTGAATCATTCGTTGAGTTTAGGAACTTTTTATGTGCCTTGATCTGACTTAACAGACATATGGCTGGTTAAGCCCCATAAAAGCTGAACAAATGAAACAAAATAAACAAAAAAAATTAAAAATCTGAAATTGGTTAGGCACTGGACTAAAAATGAGAATTAAAGCCGTTTAAGTCCAGAGAAAAAGTTTGAAAGACTTTCAGAAAGCCTGGATTAATGTTTTAAGACCACAAAGATWACCAATAAAAAAATGAATAAGGGGTGAGGGTAGAAGTCTGTCTTCTTGATTTCTTTCTCTTCCCTGGTCAATTCCACATTTCCACTCCCATTTTCTGAAATAATAGGACATTTTGCCACCAAAAACAACAAAAGGGGGGACAATGAACAAACAATGGTTCTCTGCAGACTTCTCATTGGCACTGAAACCACTTCACATTAAACTCATAACCTCCAATCCATAAATCATCATACGCACGTACCCAGACGCTCTAACAGCACGCTTTGAAAAATGCCACARTCCAAATTCCTTGATGCAGCCGAGACAAAGATGTTTGTCTGTTTTGTGGTTCGTGCTACAATGACTGCTGGGCACAGACACCGAAAACACAGACGGTCACTTCTTCCATCAAAGGGCTGAAACATCAACAGATCCTGCGAAACATCAAGAGGGCTAAAGTCTGAACAATAACCCTCTCAGTGGGCCTGAGGATGATGACACTTTTGCATGACAAAGTTACATTTATCTAAATGTTTGCTGAACTTTGCTGAGGAGGCTCCTATTAGTCGCTGGGAAATAAGTGATCGCTCTCTGCTGGTAGAAGGGGGAAGTGCACAACTTGGAAATCCCTATAAWTTCACGCTAAATCCTTTGCATTAGTACAGCATCTCATTTATGAGACACAGACTCACTGGAGCATGAACGCTGATTATCGGGATAAATGTGGAGACAGACTTGGATGGAAAATTAATATACATACAAGCTCAGACCTCAGTAACAGATAGAGGATCAACTTTAATAATACAAGTAAGTAAAAGTGTATTTAAATATGGTATAAAAATAAATGCACGAGAGAATAACAAAGAATTATGTTCTACATTAGACAGGAGACAGCATTTTTTTGTAAATTTGGACTTTACAGGTGCAATGACAACCATATGTGCTAATTATTTTAGTGCAATAAAACAATGAAAAGCAAACTAGATGCACAATAAATAATCGGAACTGTAATATATATGTATATATATTTGTATATTCATTCTGCACAACACTTCCCATAGTGTGACAAATTATCTGTAACCTCATGTAAAGCGATGGAATTGGTTATTGGTGTAAGCTGTCGTTCTACGGGTTTTGTTCTAGTTTTTTTTTCTTATTTCTCTCTGACATCATTTATTTCAGCTGGAAGTGAGAGAATAGGCTCCAACCGAATCTCTGAATTTGACCACCCCATCTCACTGTCCTCACGAGTCCAGCGGTGCCTTCTTTCTGAGAATACTGGAATAAGAACTGTTCGGAAAGAAGAGAGCGAAGCGAGTGGCGTCCTCTCCGTGGACATGCAACGTCCCGTGGACAACAGACGAACAGGCGGATTGGCTCATCATCCGGCTGAGCCAAAAAGCAGATGACGGACGATGATGATGAAGAAATGATGGTCCCTTTTTTTCTGTCCCAGAGAGAGGGAAGCCGTTGGTTTGAGCGTGGTGGCACACAACTTGTCAACCTCCTGTCTGCCAGTTCCCCCTGTGCTCAAGAAGACAGAGAAGATTTTAAAGGCTTAGTGCAGCATAATTTCTAGACTAATTTCTRGCTTGTATAATTGATGTTATAATGCAGGGGTTCTCAAACGTTTTGGATGTGGGGACCCCTTACAAGGGCGAAAAAATTCCAGGGACCCCCTCATAAACCCCATGCTGTTTTCAAAGATAATTTACTATCATTTTAACCCCTAAATGCCATGGGAATATTTTTTTATTTAGTTTATTATGTTTGTTTTATTAGTTTATTGTTCTCCATGCATTTTTAAAAATAAAAATTAAATTAACAATTACCGTWTTCATTCGTGTATAATACGGTTTCATGTATAATACAACCACCCCCTTTTTTAGCTTAAAAAGCATAAAACATTTAATCCTTAAACTACCTCCAATTTCATACAGACTTCCAGATTTTTCAGCCTTTGCCGTCTTTATACATATCAATAAAATGATCATTGGACTGTTCATTTTATTTTAAGAACATACTGTATGTACTAAAAGGTATTTTGACAACAAATACAGTATATATCAGCAAACTATGATTTTTAGCTTTGTAGCAGCATCATATGAATTCTGGCATTTTACACATAGTCCACCAGGATGCGCCAACACAAAAGTCAGAGACTTCACATGAGATTTGGG